TTGAGTATAGTTTTTCCTCTCTTTTTTTTATCACCAATTTCATTTATATGCACCTCAAAATTTCAACATGTAATTCGAAAATTAAAAAAAATGAAAATTATGCCAAGATTATTTCTTGATCAAGGGGCTTGAACTTCAATGTCTGGATTAATTAGGATATTTTAGCAATCTAACTGGGAGTATTTACAATTACAAAGGTTCCTATCTTTTGAAATTTATTTTAATTAGTTAATTGAAGATTTTTTCAAAGACAAATAATGTATCATCATCTGAACTTGATGACATCATTTATCTATTCACATAATTAGTTGAAGAACATATAATTTTGCTAATCAAAATACACCTATGAGTCATTCAATATATCTCTAAATAAATTTAGATAATTTAGAGATAAATTCAACTTGGCTAATCAAAACTGACCTATGAGTCATTCAATTTAACTCTAAATAAATCAAAATAATTTAGAAATAAAACCCAAATTTTGCTCAATCAAAATTCGATGGAGTCATCATCCTTTTTCTCTAGTTAAATTAAAATATTTTAGACATAAAATCAAAAAGATTAAAATCTCATAAAATTCTCTCATCTTGTACTATAAATACAATGTTCCACCAAACCATTTGACACACATAATTCAAAAAAAAAGATTTTGAAAACTCAAAATTTCTCCAAAGTCTTATAAGAATTAAGTTAAACAATTGAAGAACACAGATATTTAGGCTTTAAGATTTTTCAAGAAGTTGTTCTTCAATCTTATTCTAACAAAAGGCTTTATGATTTTCAATAAATTGTTCTTCCATCTTATTTTAATCAACAAAAGAAAATTTTTTAAAAAGTTTCTCTTCAATCTTGTTTTAGCAAAAGAAGGAGATCAGTTTCATTTGTTCAAGACTAAGCCTTTGAAGCGGATTCATTGAAGAAAAGAACCATAACATTGTTCATCCCTAACTCAAACAAGCAGATTTTATTATTAATCGGTCCCATTTCCAAATTCAATCAACCCCAAAAAACGTTTTGTGAATTAAGGATGACCCAAATCTTTTTATTTAAAATTATGGGTGCGATGAACAAGTTGCCAAGTTCATAATGATTTTTGAAGAGAAATCATGTTTGTACTCTTCTTTGAATTTCATCACTCGAGCCGTCAAATTTCAAGTGAAGAATTTTTTCAAAAAGTTAATTAGTAATTTACATAATGGTTGCTTTTCCAAAAAAATTAACACAATGGTTAGATGCAAAAGCATTTCAAAGATTAGATTTCATGCAAATTGTCAGCTTTAAAATTTCAAAAATATCTTCATATAAGTTAAATTGTCTTCTAAATCAATGAGGATGGTAAGATTATATAACAGTAGCCTTATTGCATCGAATAGGCAAGTAGCTACAATGGATGTTATTAAGATAGGCACGATGTGTAAGGTCAAGTGCCCTATTATCCATGATGATTTCTTCTCTATTCCTTGAAAGTAAGCTAGCATTCCACACCATATTTGTGCAAATCAACTTACATTTTTTATATTGACCAAAATATTTTGGCTCCACCTCCTCTGGAGAATTTAAGCATCATAAGTCTAACTATTTTTGCGGAGTTTGGAAATTGAGTTTCAAAATACTAAACACAGTGAACTAGGAAACATGATTCTGAAAAAAGCTCGTTTAAGTGTCAATCTCTATGTTTTATCGATATCCATTTTTTTTATAAACTTTGAATAGAAATGACTTAAAAATAATATTTTGATGCGATAAGATTCTTATAATTATAATCTTTTATAATACCTTTACAGGACATATAATATTCCATGAATTTTATTTCATGTCTAGGAGGCGCTGCAATTTTTCCGCTTCTCACATTGGGTTGAAAGAAAGAGTCCAATTATAGAGTCAGCATGGTTCAATAATGCATCCATGAGGCCTTCGATATATCGGGGCATTTTCAATGAAATTGAGAACTACTACAGAACAAATGGAGAGGTGATGATTACACTTAGAGGAGCAAATGCCTACACAGAGGTGCTTGCTAAGTTTGGTGTGGATAGGGAGGAAAGGTTCTCAGCTTGGTGATAGTCTCCCTGTTTTATTCCTCTCTTCCTTTCTGTTATGCTTATTATTTGGATGGATGACATTGGAGCAGGATGTGTGTTGAGAGTTGTGGTGGTGCTACGTGTTTCAGTTTGATGATACGTGACGGTGGATTGTTTTTTTCTGTTTTCTCTTTTCTGTTTTTGCCATGGTCAGGATGTGTCCACGAGGTTTTGCTGTTCTAATTGCTCTTTATCTTTGTGCTAGATGCTATGCACCCTATGCGGATGGACAGAGGAAACCCCATTGAGAGGACGGGCTCTTTCAGTCCCTGTGATTTTTCTCTTTGGAGATTTAATGAAACTTTATTTGATTGAGAAAACAAATGAACAAATAATAAAAATAAAGAGACGTGATTAATTAATTGAAATTAACCAATAGGGGTTAAAGTAGACATTTTATAAATAAAGAGACTAAAACCTAACTTCGACAAAATTAAAATTCTGTCTACTTTATTGCATCAACCTAAGCACCCTATATGGTTCCTCAGTTTAAGTTGTTCGGTAATATTTGAATTCTTTCCATTTTCCTTTCAATATCAAGGCTTTAATCATAGAGCGTGTCTGTTCCCTGAATAAAGATAAAATCACGGAGTGTAACGTTTGTCTTGGGCTGATGCATCCATTGCTTTAAATACAGGAGTGGTTCTTGTTGGGTGTGTGTCTTTTCACTTGCACCACACACTCGATCGTCGAAAACCGCTCTGAGAAATACAATGCAACTAAGTGCGGAAACTAGTCACACTGAATAAATGTTGTTCGGGAAATACAATGCGAAATAGTGAACATAAAGTGGGCCCGCACAAATCCCGAAATATCGGCTCTGACAGGAATGCGCCCGCCACCACCCGTCTGTGCTCCAGATGCGTGCTCGATGCTCCTGTGATCGCGTACGTGCAATCCGCGATCACTTCCGACTTCCTGACGGCCCGAAATGCGCCTCGAAAGTCCGCTGTCCCGTATCTCCAAAACCGTGCGTCGGATGACGAAACCGACGTCGCCGTTGGAACCGCAGCGCGTCAAAACCCCCGGGGTAGCATCCCCGTCGAAATCCGGGTCGGTCGCCGGAGGTTGCCGGAATCCGGTCACCGGTCGTCTTCTCCGGGAACTGGTTTTCGGTCAAACTCGACCAAAACCAACGCGACCAGAACTGATGCGTTAGCCTCCTCCTTGCGGTGCTCTCCGCGCCAACCGTCGCTTGAAATACCTCCCGGATCGGTGAAACCGAGCTCTCCAAGTTTCGGTCGCCGGAATCCCGCCGTCCGGCAACACCACTGCCCAAGACCGGGCTCTCCAAGCTCGCCTCAACACGCCGTGCAAGGATCCGCAGGCTGTGAGAATCACCTCCCTCACCGGAGAGAGATCCGAGCCCTCCAAAGGTAGCCCTCTCCTCTCTCTCTTTCTTTGTTTCGATTTGCACCCGAGAGTTCCACACCAAGTGAACGCACGGACCCCTCACCAAAGTCAAAATAGTGGGGTTACGGTGCGTCATAAAATAACAGTTCTCTGACCAAGAGAAAAAGGTCAGCATTGCAAGATAACAGGATGATTATAAATTAGAGGTCAAAGCTTAACTCATTGAATTGGAGGAAGATGCTGAAAACCAAGTTATTCAATCCAATTAACCATGCATTTTATTTTTATTGAAGTAAAATTAAGCTCTCTCCTTTACGATGTAAAGAATATTTTGTCCAACAGTTTAAAAATCTCCTCAAATTGCTTCCTGGGTGAAAGGAAAGATATGCGAGATGAAAGACAAAAAAAGAGGAAAAAAGAATCTCAAATTCGAATATTTTATAGGTGAGGGAGGATGGGGCCTGTGGAAAGGGAAAGAGCTATATATCCTATTATACAGCTCAAGCCCAATTCCTCTGTAACAAAGAGGATAAAGAAGAAAAAGAAAAAAGAAGGCGGTGCACCTCAAAAATTTAATGTTCATCGTATAATGCCACATGGACATAAGAATTACACATCAACATCACTGTTAACAACAAATGATTATCAATTGAACAAATAATAGACGTAAAGGGACTTGATTCATTTCAGATTAGAATATTAGAAAGACTAAAACCCAATAACGTTAAGAAAATAAAATCAGACCTTCTTATTTTTAAAAAAATTTTTATTATTGTTACCTTAGTGCATCAATCCAAACATCATATGTCTTCCCTTATCCGGTAAAATTTGAATTCTCTCTATGTTTTGTTGAGTCAATAGTCTCGAATTTTGAAGAGTGTCTTTTTCAGGCAATGATGAAATCATGAAACGTAAAGGTAACCTTTGACTGGCCTATGCAATGCTCTTGTGTCAGTCGCCGTCGCCGGTCCAAAGAATTGAAGCGGTGCTGCAAGATCACAAAGTTATAAATTAGAAGTCAAAAGCTTAACGTGTTGAATTGGTGGAAGAAGCTGCAAACCAAGTTAAAAGGAATGACAAACAAAATAGTAAACAGATTCAGTATCAGAATGGCAACAATATTGATTAGGGAAAAAAAAAACTTAAATAAAGTTGCTAACAATTTTCATCTCTTTATCTTGTATAAGCAAACTCGTTAAAGAAATGCACACACAACTCAATGGCAAACAGCTTGCTAAAGGTAAAAGGGGAGTTTGGCATATTCATAAACGAAGAGAGAACGGGTTTCCTTACTCTCTCTCTCTTGAAATACCACAAGATGAACTCAATAACGTTGACTTTTCCCTCTGGCTCTTTTCCAATATATATAACCAGCACTCATGAATCAACATTATCTTCAAGACTTCAAACCTGATTTTCGTTGAAAAATTATGGATCAACGTTCATTCCCCTTTCCTACGTCTTAAATGTTTTTGTCTTTTGGCGTCGGCGTTTCTCGTCCAAATCTATTCATACCCAATATAAATGCCCAAAATAACACTACTTTTGGGCAAACCCAATATTCGTTCTCGTCTTTATCTTCCTTAAAGCTCTCTTAAGATGGCTATCGCAGTCCTTTTTTCACTTCTTTGTCTGAGCCTGAGTCAGCTCCTTTCCTTCCAGGCCACTGCCCAGCAGAATCCTACAAGCGGGTTTACCGCCGTTCCTCTATCTCAATCAAATTTCGAGCTGCACAAGCCTTATGATAAGTCTCCAAGCGAACGGTACAGTTTCAGTAATGGCGAACAGAGACTGTGGGTGTTCGCCACGGACAAGCCTCACACAACAAGTAGCGATACGAAGCCACGCACGGAGATCCGAATTCGAGTAAGTAAAATTAAAAGGTTTTTTTATTAGTATTCATTTTTATCAGTACCAAATATCTTTATTTTTTATCAGTTTTAACTCTTGCTATTTTAATGGAAGGAACATTTTTGTTTATTTGGAAAAAAGAGGGATTTGAAGTTTACTTTGAAATAAAGAATTATCCATCAAATATTGAGTAAAAGTTCAACGCAAAACAAGTCAAAAGAAACAAGTCTATCAAGGTCGATGACAAAATATCTTATCTACATTTTCTCCAGGGCTATGATTACTCATCTGGGGTATGGCAATTTGAGGGACAGGCATACGTCCCAAGTGGAACAACCGGTACCTCCATCATGCAAGTATTTGGCGGTTCTTCCCGTGCTACTACCATAATGCTCAGAGTATACACCGGCTCGCTCACGGTTTACAGGTCTCCGGTCATACTATCAAATATGTATAACAGATGGTTCAAAGTAAACGTAATCCACGATGTTGGTGCATCGAATGTTAAGGTTTACATTGATGGAGTTCTTAAATATGAAGGATCAGGTGCTGGAGGAAACAATCACTACTTCAAATTTGGAGTTTACGCACAGAATGACGAATCCAATTACATGGAGTCTCGTTGGAGGGGAATCAGGGTTCTCAGGAGGAATTAATGCTTTAATTTTAGCCATTTTTGTTTACGCAATGGTTAAGAGTGGCAAAAAATGATGTATTACTTCTAAATAATCGCCAAAACGGAATGTTATCTATGGTATATGTGTATTGTTGATCTTGAAGAAGAGGTTGGGGTCTAAGACGGAAGAGATTATTTTTCGGTCGTGGAACTCAAAACTCAATAGGTTTTCTTATATAGCAAAAGTTAAGTGTATTCATGGAATAAAGTATACTCCTTTTATCCAAAATGTTTTTTTTTTTTATCCTGGAAAAAATGTTCACTTCTCTTTAAGGCACAAAACACCATTCAAAATTTCTTTCAATTATCATTATTTCTATTTTAACATAAAAATTAATAAACTTTAATATCATTTTTCAGAGAGAGAGAGAGAAATGTGACATTTATTAAAAAAATATGAAATGTTCATAGAATAAAGTATATTCTTTTAATCAAATTGATTGTTTTGACATCACAAAAATAGAGAGTATTATTGACGAAAAATTTCATCGGTATCATGCTTTAACGATTGAAATGTTGACAGAATATTCTGTTGACACTCAATCAGAAAAGACATCATTGGTAATGCAAACTTTGTTAGTGACAAAATCTTCCATCATCAAATTGTTGATAGAAATTTTTGTTGGTCAATTCTGTTGGCAAAGAATTGGTTATATCGGTAAAAAATTCATCGATACTAGTTGAAATTCGTCAATAAATAACAACAAAATATGATCCGTCAAAGATTTCATCGATAAATATGTACAAAATTGCTGATGAATTACAGACAAATTACCAACAGAACCAACTTTGAAGCTACAATACACATCCATTAGCAATGTCCAATTCCGTCGGTTATCTGTCAGTATTGCATATTAACTCCGTCAATAATTCCATTAGTAACTGATGAAATCCATCAATAATATGTGAGCTCCATCAGCCATTTCATCGGTAATACAGACAGTGAGTGCAAGTTTTTTTTATTTTGGGAATTAAATTTATCCTATTTATAATAAAATTATGATATAATGCTGTTATTGATAAAGTAAACATATAACAAACAAATATGTATACAAAAAATATGAAAATCTAATAGAAATTGTTGTTAATAAAAAAATATTCAAATGTAAAAATCTAATAATAATCCAAATACTTCGTCAACAAATCTCACTGAAAGGTGAGGGTGGCTACTGTTGTGGTGGAGGTTGTGAAGCCCAAACTCGTTTGGTTGAGGCTGCGATCTCCTCGATCCAATTACATCCATCAACTAACCCTTAATATCAATGAAACCCGTCATCAAGGTCTTCATGTCATTAAGCAATTGTCGATATTCCTCGGGCTCAAGCATAAGAATCGGCATAGGAAGTGATGATCATTAGGGCCACAAGCAAACTCAGACATCGCAGTTGCAACCAGAAGTCTCGAAGCAGGGACTCAGGTGCCAAATCCATATACGTGAGTCCAAGTACTCATCGGCCCTCCAATGACCTCTGTCCATGCCTCTAGATCAAACTCCAGCTGGCTTGACAACTCTGCACCATACTTCTCTATAATTGCCAAAGCACATGATTCCTAAAAATAAAAAAGCAAGTAAAATTATTAAATTATTTAATTGATAAGCAATATATACATTGAATATATATAAACACATATTACTTACAGAAACAGTCTTGGACTTGTTGTCCAAAAATTTCTCAATACTCTTCTATAGCTCGTGAGCGCATTCAAAGAGCTCGGAGAATGTAACCTGTTATTTTTTTTCCTTTTCCTGTAAGCATTAAAAAAGAAAAATATATATATATACACATCATTAAAAGTATCACAATCATTGATTAATATAAAAAACTGTATTATTAAATTGAATGATTTATGTAATATATATAAATATTAAATAAAAGCACATACCATCATCTTCTAATGAAAGGCGAAAAGCAAGGAATCGCCGGTAGGTTTTACTATGCTATTGTCCTTCTCTGTGGGGCAATTCTGCTTAGCCTTGTGTGAGCGTGCCTGCCACTTTGGCATTGATCATATCTAATCAACAAGCTAGTCTCATACCTTAGCAATGATCTACAGTTGTGCCTTACCCTTCATCAATACGAGATCAACGTCGAACCGCCTGTTTCTCTCTTCGCCTTACCGCGCTCATCCACTAATAGGTCCTTAAGGTGATCTTTGCAGATCTTCTCCATATGGCTTTCACTTTGGTCGCATCTACAACAGCCCATGTGAAAGATTCCTGCATGAAAAAAAAAATTTAGTACAAAAAATTATGATAGATTTACAATAATATATACTATATCTTTACATTACTTCAAATTTCCACCATATGTTATCCTTATGCTCAACAGCCTCCATATCGACTAAGGCCCACTAAAGTTACTCTTGATAATCCTCGTAATCGTGAGAGTAACGCCAATCTCCTCGAAAGTATTAGAAAAAAGACTTATTAGTTAGTAAAACGCATTACTTAATTAACTAACTATTGAGTGCATATAATTAATGATATAAATTTGAGTAAAGAAAATTACCACCCTCTAAGAGGATGCAGTAATATCTGTCAATCTGAACGAGTCCAAGTCGGCAAGCCGAGACTCAACCCTCTACCTTTAGACTATAACATGTTGCTGGACACAATATTATGGTCCGGAGTAGTGGGGGTTCCAACAGGGGTTGTCAGACTCGGCCTCAGTATGTTCTCTTTTGATTGTACCTCAATATCTGCCATTGGAGTAATGGAAGTCTGTCGTCTAGGGGGAGGATGCGACAGGGGCACCGATTGAAGTGGAGGCAGCGGTAAAGGAGGTCAAGCACCGGAAGGGCTAGCGCTACTAGTATTGCCTAGTCCTCGAAGGCATCCTTTAATTAACTTAATCATTTAACTACATTATTAGCACCTTTAATTAGTCACTAATTTTAATATTTTATAAGTTAAATAATATTACTTATGTAGTTCATTGCTTAATAATTAATTTGCTTAATTCCATTTGATTAGTAAAAAGTATTTCCATCTTGCATAATTACCAAAGTTTGCTTAATTAATCACTAGATTTACTTATACCTTAATTATTAGTAAACAACTAAAGCCTAAACCAGTATTTTTTCAAATAAATTTTCTTTGTCAACAACTATATAATAAACACCTAAACTTTAACAAATCAACAGCAAAATGCCAACAAAAATAAATTATCAAGCCTCAAAACAATTACAAAACCCTGAATAACAAATAAACACATTTTTTTCATTTTATTACAAACCAAATAATCCAATTGAATCACACAATAACATAGTAGAAATTGGCAAATTAAACTCTAAATCCACAACAACCAAAATCTCAAATATTTAAACAACAAAATCCTCAAATATTCAATTTATCAAAGCCATAAATTAATGGGGCATTGTAAGTACCCAAATAAGGAGAAGATTTTCTTGGCTGAGGTAGGGGCAGGGGCAAGGGCAACCCAACTGCAACTGTCCAATCGAAAAAGAACGATGGAGTGAGGCTTCAAGTCCAACGACGGTCGGCATGGGTGGTCGCCAGTGGATGAGAGGAGGCACTCAGATGGGGCAAAAGGAAAGTAGAAGGGAAAGAAGAGAAACTAGAGAGTGAAGAGAGAGAGAGAGCAAAATGGAGAGAAGAGAAAAGAGAGAAGAGAGTAAAGGGAGAAATGAGAAAAAGAATCCCGATTAGGGATTTCATTAAGATTACTGACGGAATCAATGAAGAATGGTTCTGTTGGTAATTAGAATAAGGCAAATTGAGGAAAAATTTCGTGTGCAGATTATAAATATACATTATCGATAGATGCCTTTGTCGGTATTTTAAAAATTAATATCGACAGAAATTCTATCAACATATCGGTCGGTAATGTTACCAATGCCTAACCAAGTTACCAATCACATAGCTCGTCAGTTAGATGGTCGGTAACTTCCGTAAGTAACATGTTACCGACGAAATTGTTTCGTTGCTAAATTTCTCGTCATGTTAGTATTCATGCGTGCTATTACATTACCAATGAAATACCAACGGAATTTATTTTGTTGGAATATTCTATCATTATTCTGTCAATATATCTTTCAATCTTGTTCCATCAGTAATTCGTTAGTATTCAGTCAGTGATTATCGATAACATTTTACTGACAAAACTAATTTTGTCAATAAAAGATGTTTTTCTTGTAATGTGACTCTTACTTTTAATCATCCAAATCTTTTTTTTTTAAGTGATAAATTTATTAAGCCAATGGTTAGAATGCCATGATAAATCTTGAACCAAAATGATAAAAGACTCCTCTTGACATATGAAAACTAGCTTCGGTGAATAGAGTTCTGTACACTTGCAACGGAGAGGAGCTGCTCAAAAAACAATTAGCGCAATAGGCAAGGGCACCAAGCCCCTAAACACAGAGTTTTGCTACAGCGTTCAATCTCAAATCAATCCAAATCTTAGTTCCTAAGCTAACAAAACAAGAGCAGATGAGTAAAATCTCCTTCGACCTAAATGTCAAACAACCCCGACAAAAACAAAGATCACAAGCAAGCAAAACCCAAACCAGCTGCCTAATCGCTTGCGGTAACAACTAATATTGAGGATACCAAACCATCGTAATTGGACATTGATCATTACCAGTTATTCTGCCAATTGTTGCAAGTGGCAGTTAGGGAGGATCAGCTAACAACCATCAAGTTGTAGGCCATTATCTTTATGAAGATTAAAACTGAATTTAAACCAAAATTAAAGCATATCTACTTATAATTCAAATTTCAAAATAAGTTTTTATTAATATTGCTATTCTATGATCCACCTAGAACACATATGTCTACGGTCTACCCTAGTTCATCCTGTCTAAAAAAGTGCGCCGCATAGTTTTTTTTAAGAAAGTTATTCCCTATACTTAATTTTCAATCTTTTTAATTTTTTTACGGTAAACTTCATCTATATTATTTATGATTTCAATTTTCTGACATGACTTCCTAAAAGTTTTTTTTCCAATTAGCATTTTGTTAATATTTATGTGAAAATTAACAACTTAAATTTTTATGAAAATAGAAACTTTCCACATGATACTAATTGGATAAAAAACCAAAATATGTTATGTGAAAAAGGTTAAAATCATAAAAGGCATAGGTGGAGTTTGTCCTTTTTCTCATTCGATATCAAGGCTAACTCTAATTATAAAAAAGTGTCCATATATGGATGAAAAAATAACCTTCGGCATGACCTACTGATGCAATGCCTTTAATACAGGCGGTGTTGCATGGTACCAGAGCTAGCATGAAGTAGAAGTCAAAAAGCTTAACCTGCCAAATTGAAGGAGAAGCTGCCAAACCATGCTGTAAGAGAATCACAAACCAAACAACACATTTGACTACAACTATTATTGCAACCACGTTACCAAATAAAAAATTCAAATAATAAATAATAATACCAATCATTTTTTTTTCTTCTTCATCTTAGTATTGTTTTCAACAGTTAAACAGAGGGCTAAAGTCTCCAGAGAAAGGTTAGCATATATATCGCTAATGGAGAGAGAAGTAATTGCCTCACATAATATTGGACTCTAAATCCATTAATCAGAATTCAATTCCCTTTCCTCCCACTTGTTTGGTTCTTTCCGGCGGTCGACTTTTCTCTTCAAAGCTCTTCTAGTTTCATGTCACTATATATATTCCCAAAACGAACACTATTTTCCACAGTAAATATTCAGTCTCATATCTCTCCTTCTTCAGTGCTCTTAAGATGGCTTTTATAGGGCTTGTATCTCTTCTGTGTGTCAACCTTATTAGTCAGCTAATTTCCTTTGAGGCCAGTGCCCAAATCGTTGATACTTTACAAGGGTTTACCCCAGTTCCTCTATCTCAATCAAATTTTGAGCTGCACAAGCCTTACGATGTGGCTGCAAATGACCGATACAGCTTCAGTAATGGCGAACACCGGCTGTGGGTTTACTCCACCGACAAGCCTCACTACCAAGGTAGCACTACTAAGCCTCGCACAGAGATCAAAATCCGAGTAAGTACAATTAATTAATTATAGGGTACGTACTTTGTTATTTACTTTGGATCTCCAAGAAGTGTTAAATTCAATGGAAGCATTCTTTATTGATCCGCAAATGTCTTGTTAACTTTAATTTCTATAGGGCTATGACTACTCCTCTGGCGTTTGGCAATTTGAGGGATACGTCTACGTGCCGAGTGGAACAACGGGTGTTTGCATCATGCAAACATTCGGAGGATCTTCCCGTGCTACGACCATGATGCTCAGAGTATACGGTGGCTCATTCACCTACTATCGGTCTCCGGTGTTGCTATCAAACGTATATAACAAATGGATCAGGGTAAACGTAATCCATGATGTGGGTGCCTCTAATGTGAAGATTTATCTTAATCAGCAACTTAGATACGAAGGAGCAGGTGCAGGAGGAAGCTCTCACTATTTCAAATTTGGGGTGTATGCACAGAATGATGAGTCTAATTACATGGAATCACGTTGGGTGGGAATAAAGGTTCTTAGGAAGAATTAATGGTTGAAATTTAGCCCTTCTTTTATTATGTAGCTCCTAGTAATGGCCAAAATTGATATATTTCCACTGGATAATGGCTGACGACGAAGCCTGGTATTTTATTTGTGATTGATATATTGATGTTCTGGGGAGCGTTGTTGAGCTCTCTGAGATAGTAAAGAGTCATCTTTAATATTTTAATAGTATAACTCAAACCTCAATAAACTTTTATATGTAATAGTAATAAATGGAATAAAATAACTCTTTTGTCCACATTGATCTAATTTTGTCTGGAAATTATTTTTACTTTTTTAAAAGTAACATTACTCATAATTTCTTTTGTTCAAGTCTTTTCTATTTCTAATTTGGTGTGAAATTATCACATGATGAGAAGTGTTCAAATATTTCCCTGTATCGTTGGCAGTTTACTTAGAGATGATATTTTTTTTTTCTTTCTTTTAAGTCAAAGGGATTTATTCATATTGATAAATCCAAATTAAGGTTTTAAAAGACCATAGCTACCAGTCCAAGACAAAGGAGGAGTCCTTGACGACATTAGACAATGCTACAACACTTCCCAAGCTCAAACCAACCCCTTTCAATCATCTCCTTCATAAACTCAGCTCCATAAACGACAAGAATGAACCCCTGGCTTGCAAAGCATCACCACCTAAGTACCAAGGCTCAAATTGTACATCGAACATGGTGAATCTGCACCCCATAGAACAACCAAGCCAACACAGAAGGTTACACATCAATTCCAGCAACACTTAAAACTCTCACCACGCCCGCAAGATGTAAATAAGAACTAAAAACAGAGCACAACAGAGCCTTATTTTCTTTTCGTGGCCGATCTTGCCTACCAACTATATAACACAACTTAATTTAATGGTTTCTTTACAACCAAAGGACATTTTAATGGTTTCTTGTTCCTAATTTATTTTTATTATGCAAAATTTTTTGTAAATTATAATTTTATTTTAAAGCTTTTATCAATACAGTATTATTTCAAATGATCTAACAGTTAAATTAAATCAATAACCCGATAATTATACTAAATCATTATAAGGCCCATTTTTAGCGAACATCATTATTTTATAGAGTTAAGAGGTAATTAACAAGCGGGCAAAGATGGAATTTTAGAATTACTAATCCAACGGCCGAAAAATCCATCCCAAGATTCAAGACCAGAATCACCCCCTATATAAACACACACACCTAATCACCCAACTTCCACTCCTAAACTCAAAAGATCCTCCCGCCAAAAGTAACAGAATCTCAACCACCCAAATGGAAATCTTTTCCTCCGAACCAACAACTCTCCTCCTCCTCCTCCTCCTCCTCCTCACCGCCCCCTGCACCACCGCTGACTTAACCTCCCAAGAACTCGATGCCGCCCTCTTCGCCCTCCGATCAAATGGCTACACCCTCTTCCCCAACGCCATCACCACATCTGATCTTCAACCCCGCCTCCTCTCCTCCCAAAACTCTTCTTTCACTTTGTTTTCACCCCCTGATTCCCTCCTCTTCTCCCTCGACCTCCTCTCCTCCGCCCGCCTCTATACCTTCTCTCTCCTCTTCCACGTGTCACCACATTTACTCTTCACGTCAGACCTTCTCTCCCTCCGTCGCCCTTACATCGAAACCCTCCTCCCTAACCGCCATCTCTTCGTAGAAAAAACTCAGGTACCCCACAACGGCAGCGTCTTGCCATCCGTTGCCGTCGACGGGGTCCGCGTCTCGGTCCCGGATCTTTTCCTGGGGTCAAACATTGCTGTCCATGGACTTGATGGGATTCTTGTTCCAAGATACAGGGCCAGGGATAATGATGGTGCCTTCAGTGAGCTAGGGCCTGTTATGGCTCCTAAAAGTCGGTGTCAAACGTGCATTTCTCCCGTTAATCCACCTGAGAGTTTGCCACCAATGGGGAGTGGGGTGCCCGAGATGGTGACTGTGGGTACAGGACTCAAGAAAGATGGAAGGTCTGATCCGGATAATGATCGCGGCACAAATAAGGGATCTAGACACAGTACATTTTTCCAGTTTAAAAACCTTTTCACTCGGTGAATTTGCCCTTTTTTCTTTCTTTTCCTGATTGGATACAGAAGAAGAAGTTACATCTTTTCATCACTTAGGTGTCAAGAATAGTTATTCTAATGGGGGGGCCTGGAATTCTTGATGATGATCTGTTTCGACAATGTAAACTCGTAATTGTCAATGAATTTGATCACAGTACTAGTCGCATATTTCATTCATTATGATTTTCCACTTGATTTTAGATCATTCACAGCAAAATAAACAGATAAAGCAGTTACGGTAGTCAAATAAAGTTTTTAGGAATCAAGATGAAATCTTTTTTTTTATAACGAAAAAGTCAAGATTGATAAGAGGGTTTAGTCTTGGGAAATAGTCTTACTTGGAACACCTCGGCAAAATGTTGGTGGTGGCTTTTGGGTTTGGATTCTGATTCAATGATATGGTAATAGCCTTGGAGTCTACTGCCTTCTTGTGGGGCAAAGCCAAGGGAAGCGGTCGTGGGCTGTGTTATTATTAAGGCTGCGAGGGAGAATCCGAAAGAGTTCTCCATAAAGACGGAGGATGCAGTAAAAGTGAGAGACTGCAGAGGAGGTAAAAGGAGGATTCCTATGGTGCTTAATTATGAAGGTAAAGAGACTTGATTAGAAACGTAACTGGGGAGATTAATAGATCAGAAATGGGCGTATATGAACAGGTTAATATCCTAGATAGTACTTAATGAGTTGATTTGGCTATATTAATTTAGCTCAATTATGCACAGTGATTTTATGCATGGACGGTTCCTCTCCATTTTATAGCTCATGCCAATTGATATTAGTAAGATATTATTTTCGTAATGGTTGCAAGCCTACGACTTTAGTCAGAGTTAGCTCTCCATATTCATGTAATTTTTGAACTTCGACCAAAAGTCTCTCAGACAAGCATCTTATATACCATAGACCAGACCAAGAGAGAACTACAGATATTATTGGTTCGCCAAAAGCCATCTTCTTTGCATCAATCTGTTTGAAAACTCTCAAGCTAAGATTTGTGTTCAATGTACTATGGAGCTTGCCATTTCTGGAGGATAAGCAATTTTAATTCTGCTCATCTATTCAAGGCGAGACAAAAGCAGAACAAATGCGTAAAGAAATAGGCAAAAAGGAAATAAAGGAACAAAGTTTAGGACAACTTGAGGAGAAACAACCTTCTATCAAAATGCATGGTAAATAGGCGGGAATAGAAGCTGTTATTTAGTGAAATGGTGCATCATTTATCATGAAATGGGACAGAAATTATGCCCCTGTGTTTTTCCTTTTTTTTTTTCTTCCATAGTTTTTCTGGAGCCAATAAAATTTTTAACAAGGTTTCAGAAATTCAACTAAACTCCAACTCAAACACTTGTTTACTGTCAATTCTAAATGTTTAACTGGAAAACACCATTTCCTTCAGTGACGAAACATTCTGACAAGTTTGAAAGATAATGTATCTAGCCAACAAGGCTACTGAATTTTACTAAAGAGACGATGGAAAGTATCAAAATTCTAACTGTAAATCCTCCTTTTTATTTTGAATGGAACTGGGACTCAAAAACCTTGGTAAAACATTCTGACTTTCTGAGTATAGAGCTTATAATCCACAACCATGTTATTCAACCACAATCCAGTACATGTATACAATTACTAATGAGTAACTTACCTATTTTCTTAGCTTCTCAAAGGGTATTTCTTTTCACTTTTATTGAACTATTCCCTGCTTTCGTATTTCTCTCTTTTCTCTCTTGGCCTGAACTTTTCAAAGAAGAACAGAAACCTTCCTTCGAACTTTGCTGTGGCTAAAGTAATTAATTAAGACTACTTACAGTTCAAGGTCAGCCTTAACATTAAATACTAATTTGCAGTTCATGGCCACCTTCCATGATAGAGTGCAGACTGGTATACCTTATACTCGATTGGCACCATCGCGTATATGCATCCCAACAATAAACAGATCTTTGCAGAAGAAATTTGGCATGTAAAGAGTATAGTTAAACATCAGAGACCACAACTCCCATTCTCTCACAGATTATGAGACTAATATATTTTGAAATAAGCATAAACTCCTTTATTGATTCCATTTATTCAATCAAGTTTACCACACAGCAAACACTATAAAACTTAGTGATAATGCTAAAAGCATAACACAAAAGAAAATAAAAACCAAATCGAACATCCTAAATACTTCCTTCTTTAAACGAAGACCTCGCCACTAACTGGATAGCCAGAGAGCGGAGCAGCAGCAGCTGGGCCAGAAGATGCATCACAGTAGCCTCTAAGGATGTTGCCCTCCTCAGATGTGAAACCAAGGGAAGTGAGCATGGCAGGCCAGCAGTTACGAGTAATGACCTCAATGGCACGGCAACAGTCAGGGCCGATATCAGTTTGGCCATTAATAAAGAAAAGAACTATCTCATTAGTGCATGATTTCAGCTCATTTAGTGCATTCCAGCACTCAACAAGGCCTCCACCAGCCTCAAGCCTTGCTGCAAGGTTATGGCCTGGCTTGCTCTTGCTGGATAGGTCCCTTGCTGCAGTTGCGCTAGCCAAGAGGCAGACAAGGACCAAAAGAAGAAACACATTTTTGACAACCATGATGTTTTTTGTATGAGATATAGTTGACAGGGAAAGAGAACAAACTGATGGATGGGGAGAAGGTGAGAGTCAGCGAGCAAGCTAGCTTATTTATAGGAGAAATAGGGGGAGATCGAGGAGAGGACTAAACGTAAAGGTGTGATTCATGCCAATTCATGATTATGGGTTCTAATTGTCTTAAGCAAGATTAATTAAGAGAAGATGATGGGTTTCTATAACTGAGTAACTGCCATATTAATCAAGTTAACTTGAATGAAGACCAAAAGCGAGTGAAGTTGGTGGTGAACACAAAGCGACAGCCATGTGAAAAGTTTAGAGACAAAACTCAAAAACCTTTTAGATTTTATACGTTCGCAGAGTTCAGTTTCAAATCAGCTCATACTACTTCTTAAGTACGTACTTTGAAAGCGTACAACTCGTTCCCCCAAGAAAAATTGTACCAACTGAATTGGAAAGCCTAATTACACTCTTATAAATCACAAAGAAAACTACAAGTCAAAATAAAAGTGCTGAAAAACAAAATTGTCAACGTAATTCAAGTTGGCCCTCATGATGTTGGGCTCAACTTAGAAATGGCCCAAATCTCAAAATGGACTCTCTATAGCCCATTTGAACAAAACCGAATTCCCTCTTCAGTGTCTCTGGCCGGTGCCGGGTTGCCAAGGAAAAGAGCGAAATATGAGTGTGTCGGAGCTGCCGAGGAAAGAAGCGAACGTGCTAAAAGGCCACGAAGGTGCAGTATTAGCGGCGAGGTTCAACAGCGACGGCAATTATTGCCTGAGCTGCGGCAAAGACCGCACCATTCGTCTTTGGAACCCACACCGCGGCATCCACATTAAAACCTACAAATCTCACGGCCGCGAAGTCCGCGACGTCCACGTCACCCCGTACTCAACTCTTACGCCATCATTGCCAATTCCTTTCTTTTCTCTTTTGTTTACTAATCTTTGGAATTTTAACATTTATAATTTGTTTGATTGTCTTGCTCTTTTCTGTAGAGATAACTCCAAGTTGTGTTCTTGCGGCGGAGACAGACAGATTTTCTACTGGGATGTCTCAACTGGTCGTGTTATTCGCAAGTTTCGAGGCCACGACGGCGAGGTTGTTACTTTTACTATTTTTTTTTTTTTTTGCTTTTTAAGTTAATAAAATGTTGTTAATTTGTATTTTGATTTGATTAAAATGTGATACATATTCAATTAGTATTATTGTTCCATATTAAAGTTGAATAATTGATTTTGTTGTTCGCTAAAGTTGATTAATTCTTCAAACATATTAGTAGTATTTTTTAATAACTAGAGGAATCTAAATTTGAAGTGGCAAATCAATGTATTTATTTTATTTTACTGATATTCCCTTTTCATCATTAATATTTTTCCTAGGTGAATGCAGTAAAGTTTAACGAGTATGCATCGGTGGTAGTATCTGCAGGCTACGATCGGTCGTTGCGTGCTTGGGACTGCAGGTCTCACAGCACTGAGCCTATACAGGTTGAAATTTTTAATTCTGAAAAATTAAAAGAGAGAAAAAAGAACAAACATGTTATGAATACATTTTAGTGTATGTAAGAGCTAACTGATTGAAAGTTCACACTGATATGCAGATAATTGACTCATTTTTGGACACTGTCATGTCTGTGTGTTTAACAAAGACTGAAATAATTGGTGGGAGTGTTGATGGAACTGTTCGAACATTTGATATTCGTATTGGTAGGTATGGAACAGTAACTCATTCTATTATTTTCCTTTTCATTCTAATGCAATCTATATTCCTAATCACTCTATGCTCTTCCCTTTCAATGTTTTTCCTTGCTTTATACTGTAGAGAAATATCAGATGACTTGGGGCAACCTGTCAACTGTATCTCAATGTCAAATGATGGTAACTGCATATTAGCCAGTTGCTTGGATTCTACTTTACGCCTCTTGGACCGGTAAAGTCTTCACCTTAACTGGATTCTTTCTGCAATGCATGCCTCTAACTCTGGTTCTCTCCTATGGCAGATCCACAGGTGAATTATTGCAAGAATATAAAGGACATGCTTGCAAGGTTAGAATGCAGATGCCTTATTCTTGCTCTTGCAAATTATTCATCATGCCTTCAAGTGTTTCCTAGTCCATATACACAGTCTTCCTTTAAATGTTGATTGTCAGTTCAAAAGCATTGTGAATATAAAGGACATATTTTTAATGGTGAAAATATCCACTAATTTAATGTCTTTAGTCAGTCCAATCTAAATTCCAAGCTTTTAAGGTTTTCACTCATTTTCATTCATGGCTTGCTTTAATTTCCTTTTGTTATTCTGCTATAGGCCTATAAAATGGATTGCTGCCTAACCAACACTGACGCACATGTAACTAGTGGATCTGAGGATGGCTCAATTTTCTTCTGGGATCTGGTAGATGCATCTGTGGTTTCAAAATTCCAAGCTCATGCATCAGTGGTACTATTTTCTTTTTTTTACAAATTCTACTGCTGGTTCTTCTAAATATGGATGATATTTCAGGATAATCTATTTTAGTATTTGTGCTCCCTTAAATGCCTTACAACAGTATTTTGCCTTGCACGGTTCTTTCTTTTTCCCCTTTATCATCCCTTTTTGCTTTACTTTTTGTCTTGGAATTTAGTTGGATACACTTTCTTGAATACTCTTTGATGGAATCATATCATCTAAGAGCTTTTGCTTGCTTTGTTATGTACTTTGATATCACAACATAGAATTTTTTATCTAGGTTTAAATTTTATCATATAGTTTCCAATGGCAATGCTTTCTGAAGTTTTCAAAATATTATTATGACAAGTTCTTGAATATGAATTATCTGATGCTTGTGCATGATCAGTTACATAATCCAAGCGTGAAGCCTCATCCCAATTATGAGTTGTCACAGTCCACCAATTAACACCCCATTTGAAGGATGTTACGTTCTATTGATTGGTTACATCTAGAAGGCAATTTCCAGAATTTTTAAACATATCATATGGATTAGGCTACTAGAGAAAATTGCTTATTGATGCATTATGATTAGGGCTCAAGATCATTTCTGAGTGGCAACTTGATTTTTTGAGATAAATATATGCACTGCAGGAGTATTGCTAGTTTCTTGGTGAAGATGAAAAAAGGATGATTTTTTAACTCACTGTTAGTCCTAACTTTATCATATTTTTCAATGAGAATTCCCCAAATTTTTGTTTATTTCTTTTCATGATGGAATTGCAGCATTATTGTGCTTGATGCGATCAAGATGTTACGGGAAAAGGGCATTTTGCAATAAAAGTGAACAGCTCCTATTTTGCCAATTTATTGTACAGCCGTTTCTATTTGATGTTTTAGTCATTTTTTAGCTGTTGGCCTCAGCCTTTAACCTTCATGCAACTATCAGTTGGAAGTTTTGAATTATGCTTGAACATATATATTGGCTTTTCAAACGATGAAGTTTGACTGAAACATGGGAGGAAGTATAATGCTTAAACTAATTAGGAGATACATGACATTGGTGTATTTAGAGCTGGAATTTGCATTAGTTGTTTTACCTTCTGTTTTTCGCCCTCTTTCTTTTGCAACATTCTAGATATTTGTTTGGATTAATAACGTATGACGTGCATCTTTGCATAATGTAAATGTAAATCAATTTTAACATTGCTTTGCATTTTGTTTCACATCAGCTATGGTTACTCTTTTTACAGTACTTAATTGCAGAGACAGCTAGTCTTTCAAGACTAACATTATTTTTTCAGGGTTGATAAAGCTGCATCTGGTCTTGCATTGATTGGTTTATCATTTCTGCATAACAAAAGGATGAACTTAAAACCTTCGATCTTTCTTTGGCAGGTAACAAGTGTGAGTTACCATCCGAAAGACAATTGTTTGATAACCTCCTCTGTGGATGGAACTGTTCGAGTTTGGAAAACATGAGATTATGGAACAATTAAGCTCTGCGGGACTGCATTTGTTAGGATAGAATTAATACAGTTGAAAGAATTTTGGAGGTGCAGTCCCTGACATTTTGCTTACTTCGTAAATTGTTGTTTTATGGTGGAACCTGATATTTCTCTCTAGCATTTATACATGAATGAACTTCTTTGGTTTGTGAGAATTCTCGCATGGTCCTCATATCTTGTTTAGAACTCTTTTAGTATAAGAAGATTCCTATAGAATTGCACCCTGGAACAGAAGAAAAAATTCTTCTGAACATGAAGATATCTTTCGAACCACTTATAAAGTTCAAGAAATTGTTTCCAAATAGTTATTAATTTGCTTAGTTAGCCTGCTTGCTTTTCTTGCTTCAATTCTTATCAAAAGTTTAAGGTATAAACCATGTAATCCCCAGGTGAGCTAACAACAAACTCTGACGTCTTTCAGCTACAAATTGTGATTAGAACTGCTTATAAGCGTGATAATATTTACATTTTTGTCTCGGGAAATGAAAAATACAAATGTTATCGCAAGTAAATCAAAATTATCCATCATAGTAGATTGAATACAGTTAATTCGAATTGATTTTTTCGATTTTAATTTTAATTGAGCAGGAGAAATAATATATTTTGATTATTTTGATCTGTTTTTGATATTAAAAATTTATAACTCAATATATCAAATCATTAATAATATATTTTTTAGAATATATTTTTATATAAATGTTATTAATACTTTTAAAGTACTTCAAAAATATATTTTCTATATAACTAATCAAACGGAAAAGGATAAATAGATGCTGTGCTTCAAGAGCAAGAGCTCAACAAAGATGCTGTGATTTGCTGTAATAATTTCACACTGAGCCCCCTGGAGACCTGGGCCTGAATTCCGGGAGGTTCACGCAATCCTTCCCGACGTTGGCTCAGTCGGTAGAACGGAAGACTGTAGTGGGTTTCACCCATTCTTAGGTCGCTGGTTCGAATCGAGCAGGTTGGACTCGAACTCTTTTTATCTTATGAGTTGTTGATAGTATATCGTAATGAGTTGCCGACAGTGCAAAACCATCAAAATATAAGGTTTGCGAACAC